CGGCCCCAAGAGCGCACAAGAGCTCTCCAAGAGCGCCCCAAGAGCGCCGAAGAGCTCTCCAAGAGCGCCCCAAGAGCGCCCTAAGAAGCGACGTGTTGGGCTCCCGAGGGGCAACGTTAAGTAATGCCCCCCTCTTGTTTGATCGATGTCCTCCAAGATGGCCCCAAGAGCGCTCCCAAGGCTCCCAATGGCGCTTCAAGAGGGCCCCAAGAGGCGCCCAGGAGGCCCCAAAAGGCGCCCAAGAGGCCTCCAAGGGGCTCCCAAGCGACCCCCAAGAGGCCACAAGAAGCTTTTTGAGGCACCTAAGACACTCTAAGAGGCGTCCAGGACCGCCATAGAGGCCCCCAAGACGCTCCAAGAGGCCTCCACTGGGGGACCCTTCCTCTGTGTGCTGCCCATTTCCCTGATCGAGGCAATTTCTCTGGGCATCGTTTCTTGATGGGCTGGTGGGGTTACGCGAAGCGTCTAGAATTGGTTGTATAAAATATTGGGTTACCTTGTAAATGAAGAAAGTGGAGGTACGTTTGGACCCTCCTCTATGGACACCTTCGTTGGCCGACGGACCGTAAAGAAGTCCTCGGCCCCCTCCGTTGGCAACTGACTCCGTAACATAAAAGTGCATAAGAGCAAGACCCACGGCAGCCCCTATGATGACAGCTGCCGAGGGGATGGAGCCTACTTCTCGGGATAGCCGCTTGGGGGGATGATCACCCCGTCAGATCAGACACGCCGCCCCCCCCACCCGCAAGGAGGACGGAGGTGGGGAGGGAGCAGGAGGAAGAGGAGGGGAAAGACGGGGGAGGCGGGGGAGAAGGGGAGCAAGGAGGGAAGGGGGGCGGGAGGAGAAGGGGGAGGGAAGAGACGAGAGAGGACGGACACGGGAAAAACGCCTCGAGCCTGGGGGCCGCGAGATACCCGAAAAGGAGCGCACAGACGACAAGGTGCTTTACGCTCCCACCGCGCCCCACGAGCCCCCCCCCGCCGGCCGCCAGGGGGAGAGGGCGCCCACGGAAAACAGCCGCCGCCCCGCCGCCGACTCACCACCGGCACCCACCAGGCCAGACCGGAGGGGGAGCGGAAGAGGAGGCCAGGAACTGTAGTTCCACGGCCGTCCGTGTGCTCACCACCGCCAGCCGCCAGGGGACCGCACCATCACTGGCTTCCGTTGCTCACCTTTCGACCCGCCACCGGCTTCTACCCGACCTGCAGAAGATGGTGGGCACCGTGACCCGTCCCCGTGCTGCGGAGCCTGACAGAACCAGCGCCCGGGAATGAGCACAGAGCCATTGGGGGCGGGGGCATGACTTGCCCAACAACTACATGGCACCTGACGGGACCGTGGCGTGGGCAGGGTATGCTCCCCTGAATGTTTCGGAGGCACAGCAACGCCACATGAGTGACATGGAGGCCTGACGGAACACCATGGCACGGACGATGCTGGGGGGAGGGCGGTGGACGGAGGAGGAGGGAGGGAGGAAGGAGGAAGGAGGAAGGAGGAAGGAGGAAGGAGGAGGGAGGAGGAGGAGGAGGGAAAAGTGGGGAGGAGGAAGAAGAAGGCCGAGGTTCGAGGATGGAGGATCGAGGTTTGGAGCGTGTTCGGCCTTCTGGGAGGCTCTCGTCGCCACGGCCGGATCGGCCTCCACAAATTCTGGCCAGGAGGCTGTCCCGAACAGGTTGGAGACTGCCTTTAGTTAGAATGGGCCCAGGCATTCGGCGGATCGAAAAACTAGAAGGGCGTTTTTGTTGTACACGTCAAGGCAACTCGAACTATATTTTTCTGGTCGCGGGACCGTGAACAAACCTGCACGGGGTGAAAGCTGGCCTCGTGGAGAAGGTCGCCAAGTCGGGGAGCGTCCTGCCTCGAAAACATGAGCCGACAGATATCTTGGGGGCAGGGTGTTGAGGGGGGCGGGGAGGGCGAGAAAGGGACACAGGGGGAGGACGAGGTGAATTCGATACGATCAAACGTTCTCGGCACAAGTGTCACTAAAGAGCGAATTCCTTCTGCTTTGAATCCCCCGTCCAGTCGGTAGTAGCTGTCTACCGCCCCTATAGAGAGCAGGCGTCCAACGCAACTTGAATAGGGCGTTCACTGGTTTACGCTCCAGCGACGGCGTTGCAGGCCATAGCCCGATCCCGAAGTCGACCTGCGCCCGCGACGACCACCGACGCATGGGGCAGCCAAGAGGGCCAGCCTACTTGCAACAAGGTGCGCACCGACAGACAATGCACATTTGCTGCATCTGACGCCGGAGATAGATTGTGCTTGGCGGCTCTGGCGACTCTATCGGGCGCCGCGCCCTTCCCAGAGCGTTCCGGACCGCTCCGCGAGCATTCTGGAACGCTCTTCAGCAGATTTCTCCTCGTCCCAGCCCCGTCCGCTCGAGGCCAGCCGGAGCTCCCTCTGGGGCCAGCCTGTCTGCGCGCAGCCCCAGGCCTTGCCACTTGGCGAAGCGCGCCGCCGCCGTCGCCGCCGCCGTCGCCGCCGCCGCCGCCGTCGCCGTCACCGCTTGCGTTGGCGGCTTCGTCGCCGCCGTCATCCGGGAGGACCGAAATGTACCCGGGGCCTCTCCCTGGGGTGCATGCTGAACATAATTTCGAGGCGAACCCAGCCGTGGGGTCGAGAGAATGATAAAGATCGCCCTTCCCCCCCGTATCGGAGAAAACATGACGGTGTCGAGTCGAAGAAAGCAGAAATACGCGACGAGGAGGAGCTTGCATGCCAAGATATAACGAGGAAGCAGGGGAAGGAGAGGCTAGAGCAACAAAAACTGCACTAACATTGACTTTTGGAGGTTCCGCGCGGATTTCTCGGATCCGCGCTAGACTCCGTTTCCTGGCGCGCGGAGCGCGCCAGGGGCGGCGCAGGAGGCGCCGCCAGGGGGGGCCCAGCGCCGATCCAAGAAATCCGCGCGGGGCACTAAAAGTTTGTGTTAATGGTTAATGGTCATTTCCCTTCTTCGATGCACGCCAAAATATAGCGAGGAAGCAAAAAGAGGAGAAGAGGAGACGATGCCGATATCGCTACGGGGGACCCTGAGGGGGGGCATGAGTTCGATCCGTTAATGCACCGAACTGCCGCAAACAAGTGCCCCCCGCATGCCCCGCCTATCTGCAATTATTGGGGAGCTGCCGGCGGCTCGGGGGCATCTGTGTTGGGCGCTTCGGTGCAAAAGCCCATCGAACTCTCACACTCACACACACGCAACGGGGCACACCCCCCTTTGCGGGGTCGGAGAGAAATGTAGCGGTAGCGGTCTTAGTGGGCCCCGGAAACGGCAGGGCCGGTTTTTCACCGTTTCCGAAAAAGTGTCCCTTGAAAATGGAAACGGCAAAAAAAAACGGCGACCAGAAACGGCACCAAAAACGGCTCCAGGATTGGAACCGGAGCCGGGACCCGTAAAAAAGAACGGCGACGGAACCGGTAAAAAAACGGCGTCGGAACCGGCAACAAAAACAACAAAAAACGGAACTGGTAACAAAAACGGCCGTCGTGTCCAGGGCCCACTAGAAGGTAGCGGTCTCCTCCTCCTCCTCCTCCTCCTCCTCCTCCTCCTCCTGGGCTGGCGCCGCGCGACCGGGGGCCTCCTGCTTGGGGTAGCGGCTCGTGTCGTCGGCCCCGCGCAGGGGCGGCCGGAAGGGCGCCGGGAGGCGCCGCGCGAGCAGGTCCTCGCGGGGCGGCCCCAGGCCGCGGGGGCTCGAGGAGGAGGAGGAGGAGGAGGAGGGCGGAGGAGGAGGAGGAGGAGGGCGGGGGAGGAGGGGGAGGAGGAGGAGGAGGGGAGAATGGGGGGAAAAGGGGAAGGGGGAGAAAAACGAGGGGGCGCGCCGCATCGCGAATGCATCGGCGATGCATCGGCGATGCATCGTCGACGTGGGCGGTGCATCGGCGACGTCGACGCGAGGCAAGTCTTCAGTCGGGTATGGTCTCCTGCAGTTGGAATTCGGACGAACAAGTGTTTTTCTTCTTTGTTTTCAATTTGAAAACATGTCCCAGGATATACAAACATAGTCAAACTAGCACATCGTCCCCAGACTCTTGCTTGACATGTTTTCGATGTTCCTCCTGTAGAGGGCAGGCCAGACTTGAAGCAAGTCGGGCTCCACATCGAGCCGCATCGGCGATGCATCGGCGATGGGACGCAGAGGGACATAATAATATTACTAGATGCTCTCCTTGGAGGCGCGCGTCCGACCCGAACATATAGTATACTCATGTTGTAGCATATCGCTTCCCGAGCGGTGTTGCCAGAAAGCGCCCGCCACGATGCATATAATATTACAAGATGTCTCGGTGCGCGCGTCGCCCCTGCGGGAAGCGACGCACACATCGCAGAAGTATGTTGGGGCGACGCCGAGGCGAGGCGGCGCTTTCCTGCGACCCCAGGCTGCACCAACCCCACTACTAGGAGGAGGAGGAGGAGGAGGAGGAGGAGGAGGAGGAGGAGGAGGAGGAGGAGGAGGAGGAGGAGGAGGGAGGAGGCGGAGGAGGAGGAGGAGGAGGGGAGGAGGAGGAGGAGGAGGAGGAGGAGGAGGAGGAGGAGGAGGAGGAGGAGGAGGAGGAGGAGGAGGCCGCTGGGCTCGGGCCCCGCCCGCGCAGAGGGGGGGAGAGGACGGGGCCCCGGAGAGCCCCCCCCCCCCTTGCGGCGTGGAGAACGCACGGCGGGGGGTCTTTTTGGCCAATCCTGGCCTCCAGGGCGAGGATTGCACGCCCATAGGGGGGGAGAAGAGAGAGAGGGGTCCGGCGGGTCCAAAAACACCCAAGGGGGCCCATCGGAGAGGACCTTTTTGTCACCACGATGCGGCTCGGACAGGCAGCGCACCGTGGGCCAGCGACAGGGCCCCCTCCTCCAGGGCGAGGAGGGCTCCACATCGAGTTGGGAGGAAGGGGCTGGGAGGATGAGGGGAAGGAGCAGTGGCATCCGCATGCAGTGAACGATGCCTTCGGCCGCCTGCGGCTGAGGATGGCCACATTTCTCCCAATCCCATCCTCCCCATTGCCTTCCTGACAGAGGCCCCCGCCGGGCCGCGGGACCGTCCAGCAGCGAGGCGGGATGAAGAACCGGCCCCGGGGAATGGGTCGAGACCTCGGGGGAACGACACTTTGACAAAATCATGACGTATGGGGGTCTGGGAAAGCAGGTGCGGAGAGGAGGAAATGCCTCGGAACTGCCTTGCCGCCACAATCCAGTCGGAGGAGCGGAGGGGAGACTATTCAGTACTCCGCGGGCCCGACTCCACCCTGGCTGGCACATCAATGGCCCCAACAAAGCACAAAGCAAGCGAAGGAAGGGGAAAAGGGGAAGGGAGAGAGCGCCTACCATCTCAGCCACTGGCACAGGCGTGGTGGCCCTCAGGGTCCATAATCTTCTGCTATTCCTTTTCTAAGCGGCTTGATGTGTCCTGGAAACGTCGGAGGGTGGGGGCGATCAATCGCCAGCGAAATCCCCCACCATTCATTTGTATAGCTGTTGGAAATAGCTGTAGCAGTGACGGGGTGTCACGCAAAACAACCGACACGCCTCACCATCGACCTGTCTGGCGGTGCGGCGAGGAGGAGCGATCTACAAGGAGCAAGGACAGACCAGGAGGAGGACAAGGAGGAGAAGGAGGAGAAGGATGAGGAGAGGAGGAGGAGGAGAAGGAGGAGGGGGAGGAGGAGGAGGAAGAGGATGCGAGGAAGGGGGTGGGGCGCAAGGAGGGGGAGGGAGCAGAGGAGGAGGGAGGAGTCGGAGGAGGAGTTGGAGGAGGAGCAGAAGAGGAGCGAGGAGGAGCGAGGAGGAGGGGGGGAGATGAGAGGCGGGGGGCGAGGGAGGAGGGAACGGGTGGCGAAGGAGCAGGGGGAGGGGGATGGAGATGAAGAAGGAGAAGGAGGAGGAGGAAGAGAAGCGGGAAGCGGGAGGGGCGAAGGAGACACGACACGACAGCGGGGCAGCACCAGGGAACCATGCAGAGAGCAAGGCGCTACGGGGGGAGAGAGGCAAACAAGAACGAGGCCGCCTGGCCCCGCATATGCTGGCAGGCACTCGCACGCGCGCTGCCCGCACAGCCGCCGCGCTCTGAGCTCGGAGCACGGCGCGAAGAGAACACAAAAAGTTCCGGCCGAAAACTGGACTGACTCAGGGATCGAACTGAACAGTGTTGTTCGTTTGCGTTTTGTTGGAGTGTTTTCCTCGTTTTGTCTTCAATCCGCCCCTGCTGCAAAACAAAGTCGAAACGAAAACGGTCCACGAAATCGCCAAAACACCGTTAAGGTCGAGCCTTGGGCTGACTGTACGCTCGCAGGGAGCCGCCTCCTGGAGCGACTCTCGAGGCAGGCGGCAGGAGGGCCCACAAAAAAACAGCGAGGCCAGAAAAATAGACGCCCCCATGCCTGCCGCGCGGCTCTCCTCCCCCCCCCGCTGCAGGGCGAGGAGGGTAATTAAGGGAGAGGGGGAGGAAGATGAGGAGGAGGAGGAGGAGGAGGAGGAAGAGGAGGGGGAGGAGGAAGAGGAGGAGGATAAGGAGGAGGACGATGATGATGATGAGGAGGAGGAGGAGGAGGAGGAGGAGGAGGAGGAGGAGGGGGAGGAGGTCCGTAGCCATTTTGGCTCAAGGCTAAACGTTGTGAAGGGCTATAGACGCCCGAGAATCAGCGATTAGCTTTTGGCCCGTCCGTGGCCATCTCTCGAACGTGTTGGCCTGCAGGAGGCCTTTTCGCTTCGTTGTCTCGCGGCACATGGCTCCCAGCGGGCCTCGCAGCAATGGCAAGCCCTCGTCGTTCTGGGGCGGCCAAGTCTGGACATGTGCTGACAAGAAGTGCAAGTTCACGAACAATTTCGGATGGAGGCGCACATGCTACGTATGCGGCGTACAGAAGCCTGGTGCTGATGCCCGTCAAAAGTCAGGTGCGTCCGACAAAGCAACGGCCAAGGATGACAAGCTCGAGGACTGTCAGGTGCAAGCCCTTCTCGCTCTCGACGATGCTCAGTTTTGCGCTCTTGTGGCTCTTCTGCCCACTCAGCAGCGTGCTCGCATCGTCGCGCAGAGGGCGGTCAAGTCTGGCGACCCCGCAGCAGTCTCCAAGGAGGCCAAGGTCGAGCACGACATCCTCAAGGCCAAGGTCTCCAAGGCCGCCGCGGCGCTCGATCGTGCCAAGGCGCAGCTGGCCTCGCAGGTGCTGCGTGTCGCGCCCCTGCAGGTCGAGCACGACGCGCTGCTTGCCAAGGAGAAGGTGGCAGCCAAGCGTGCGGCCGACGCATGCGGTCAGTTGTCGGGTGGTGTGGTGGCTCCTGCAGCTGGCGCTCCTCAGCCACACGATCCTGCTGTTGGCCTACGTTCGCAGTTGGTCGCTCTGGGATGTGAGGCCACCGTCCTGGGCGATTTCGACAGGCTCATCGCGACGCGCGATGCAGCAGAGGCCGAGCGGCAACGGAAGGCCCAGGCTGACGCTGCCCAGGCCGCTGCGGCTGGCGATGTGGCTCCTGGCGGTGGTGGTGATGCTGCCGAAGTTCCAGTCCCAGGCGCCCCCGTGTGCTCGGACAGCGACGTCAGCATGTCTATCTCGTTCAACGACCTCGATGGCGACTGGATTGACGACCTCATCAAGGGCGCCAACGACGCTGAAGCAGGTGACGGAGATTCTGAGGCCAAGGGCGGAATCACCCGCTCAGCTTTGCAGGCAACGCTCGAGGAGGCCCTCGAGCGTGCCAAGAAGGCCAAGCACGACAAAGCCTCGGAGGGGTAGAACGCTGTGTCGTGCTCGGGCGCGGGCCCCTCGTGTCTGGACATTCTTAACCTGCAATGTTACAGAGCGAGCTGGGCTTGACATTTTCCTCTCCTCCCCCCACTCCTCGAGCGCCGATGTGCTCGCCGCTCAGGAAACTCATATCGTGGACACAGAGGCGCAGGAAGCTGCGCTGCGTGCCCAAGGTCGTCGAGCACATTTCTATCCAGCTATTCCCACGGGCCGTGGGGGTACCTCTGGAGGCCTCATGATTGCCACCCCGAAGCACCTTGGTTTGTCTAGAGTGGAGGGCTACTCTGATAGTTTTGTGCCAGGTCGCGTTGGGATGGTGCACCTTGGAGGCGTAATACCTGGGGGAGTTTTGGTGGCCAGCATCTATCTTCACCATAGCGTTGGCCTTTCCCCTCAAAGCTGGACTATTCTATGTGACCTGGGAGCCCAGTTAAAAGCCATTGGGGTACCGTTTATTATGATGGGTGATTTTAATATGGAGCCTGAGGTTTTGGATTACAGCGGATGGGTATCTGCCCTTGACACTGTTATCGTCGCTTCGGAAGGTGGAACGTGCCGCCCAGCCGATCGTGTAATTGACTTTTTTTGTGGTCAGTCGTGAGCTCGCCGCAGGAGCTCAGGCAACTGTACTGCACGATGTCGCCACGGCGCCGCACTACCCTGTTCAGCTCAAGCTTGCGTGCACGAAAGACTCCTATCGTGTCAGGGTGGCTAAGGTACCGAGGCGTTTCCCCACCGTGGTTCCTGCTGGGCCAAGGAACCGGCCCCCTGGAGGCCGCTGGGAACATGTGAGCAACTATGTGCAGTCTGGGGATATCTCGAAGTCTTGGGAGCCCTTTGTCCAGGCAGCGGAGCTCGAGCTTCTCGACGTGCACCAGATTGACGATGATGCAGCCCAGAGCTACTTGGGACGAGGGGGGCACATCGAGTTTTC